TTGTGTTAAGATATAATCGAGACGCTTCCCCGTTTTCTGTAAATTTCGTTGTTACTCATTGAACTGAGTATTTTTTATACACGACAAAAAAAAAGCGTGTTGCGCTCTAATCATAGCTAGGAAGGCTTCTTGTTCGATAGTTTTGCGAGAAATGTGTGTTAATTGTCCGAGCGTTTTGTCGCTTATTTTTTTTTCTTTTTTCTCTTTAATTCCGAATTTTGTTTGAATCTTTTTTTTTTTGTATTTTCAGAATCTCGCGTATGTTTCCACGCCAATAAGCTTGTCACGTCTCTCTGTAAGAAGTTTTACATAGCACGTATGTAGTTAGAGATTTTTAAAATATGTTACACTCTTTGTAAGCGATATGTATCGATGTCGAGAAAAACATAGAATACTCGTTATTATTCGTGTTCGATAATTTTTCTTTCTTTTTTTTTTTTACGCTATATAGGGGCTCTGGTACATTTGATGAATCCATCGTTTTGTATTTTACCGGACGATACGAAATTTTCTCTCTCTTTTTTGTTTCTTTTTTGAAAGTATATGTACATATACTTCTACAAATAATTATCGAAATCACCGTATTACAACTAACAAATAAGTATTCGATACACGCGTTTATATATTTTCTCTTTATTTTGCCTAGTGGACTGGTCCACGGCCTATCTGTAACACGTCTTTTGTATACTTTGCTTGAAATCAAGATTACTATCGGAACCGACTGTTTTGTTAACGATAGAACAATCTATTTTGCGATTATACTATAGGGAAATCTGATTGGTTGGAATTTTTGGTACAAGGAGCTTCATCGTGCATTAACTCGAACAAAAAAACCTTAGGTGTATATTTTCTTTTGCATTTACTATTCTCTCTCTCTCTCTCTCTTTTTGTTTTTTTAGTAATGATTTTACATTATCGAGGAAATACTGCTCCAAGAAATTACGATCTTCTGTTGCGAGTTAACTCTTTATCTCAGTGTTTGCATTTAATTTCTAGTTTAGCAACTTTTTCCACTTTACTTTTCGGTCTCTACCCCCCTCGAAAAAACGACTTGTACTACTATTATAACGTATTATCCAACAGTTTGTCATTATTGAGATTTACCAACAAACTGGACGACACTCTGTTGTCCCGTAGACCTGATGTGGAAAGGTTCGAAGGCATCTTACATGCTTTCACCCCCGATCGCCATCTTGGTCTCCTCTTTTTTTCAGCAGCGATTAATCAAAATACGCGAGAAGACGAAATGTTCTTTTCTGTGTGACAGCATTTAAAATGTATCTCACCTGAAACCGTTAAACGAACCAAACCGAACAGCATCGAGGATCTATATAATTGCGCCGTTCTCTAACCATTGTACAATTTCGATCTCTGCCGTATCAAAGCATTAAAAAAAAACTATCAGGGAAATCATCCATTTGTAATCCTGAATATGCTCAAATCAAGAGAAAAGAAACCCCCGTTTAGCAAAGGAACACGTTCGCGCATGATAACCAGCCGAACTTTTTAACCTTATTAACTGTTGTGCCCGTACCAGAGATACGCGCATGTACAGTCGGTGGAAGAAGTATTGCGAGATCGTGAAATTAATGCGGTAACACCTCTAAGGTCGCACGTGGAATTTTACGTTTTTTCCATTTGGATCGAACGAAAGCTCTAAGGTAGATTTCTATCACCGACAAGCTGGAACTTACGACCTCGCCTACATACATTTTTTCCACCGACTGTACACACGCGTGAGTGTCGTATGTCCCATGATAATCGACCCATCGCGATCCGTATATTTTGCGTATTTTTTTATGCTACAACGATACAAGAACAAGTAGTGTAACAACGGTGTATACGTTTTTTTGTAAGCCAAAAAGCAAAACCAAGCGACGACCAAGCACACACATAACCTTTACTCAGAGCCTTCGAGATACTTAAACCCATTAGTTACGATTTCTATTTCGAACGTGTACGAGAAAACAAAAAATTAATGATAATTAATATTTAATAAGGGAAGAATGAGCACTTTGCGAAAGGACTGAATATAACGTGTTTTTTTTTTTTTTTTTTTTTTCTAACGTAGATGATGGCTATGACGAGTGAAAGAGAAGATGTCGCGAGAGAATATGGCGTCGATGAAACACGACGAGATTAGTACGAACAATACACGTGTTAGTGATGTGTAGCGGTGATAATAATAATAATCGGAACAGTTGATTATTCCTCATCGGAATCACTCTTTTTCGCTAGCATTTTTCTCCCGTTCGATGTACGCGTAAAACCCACGTGATACTTGTTAAAGCGTTCACGAACTATTCAAACTATACGAAGTGTAAAACGTTTCTATAGTACGTGTCGAGAAAGACTGTAACAATTTGCATTTTATGCGTTGCAAATTGTTCCAGTAGTATCGTTATAGTTTTTACCCGTTTCTGTTTCCACTTGTATTGCGATGAATTTGTGAACGAGCATCGATCGTTCGGGGTTACTGAAAAATACCTTTGAATCTTGAAAAATCTGTAATTTCGTGAAAAATTACGGTTAACGTTTAATTAGAAAAAAATTCAGT